ATCTTCCTCCTCCTCCTCCTCCTCCTCCTCCTCTTCTTCTTCTTATTATTATTATTCTTCTTATTCTTATTATTCTTCTTAGTCTTATTCTTATTCTTAGTATTATTGTTCTTATTATTCGTCTTATTATTCTTCTTCTTCTTATTATTATTCTTCTTCTTATTATTATTATTATGCTTATTCTTCGTATTCTTCGTATTCTTCTTATTATTCGTATTCTTACTATTCTTATTCTTCTTATTCTTCTTATTATTCTTATTATTCTTCTTCTTATTCTTATTATTATTCTTCTTATTATTATTCTGCTTCTGCTTCTGCTTCTGCTTATTATTCTTCTTATTATTATTCTTAGTATTATTATTCTTCTTCTTCTTCCTCCTCCTCCTCCTCCTCCTCCTCCTCCTCCTCCTCCTACTCCTTCGCCTCCTGCGTCCTCCTCCCCTCCGCCTCTCTCCTCCCTCCTTCTCCTCCTCCTCCTCCTCCTCCTCCTCCTCCTCCGCCTCCTCCTCCTCCTGGGGTCGGCCCATCCTCTGTTCCCGCCCCCTCCTCCTCATCCTCTCCTCCTCCTCCTCCTCCTCCTCCTCCTCCTCCTCCTCCTCCTCGCCCATCCGCCTTCTCCTGCCCATCCTGGCAACGCCCGGGAGCAGCGCGCGCCTTCTCCATCATGGGCACGCTCGCGGCCGCCATCGCGAACCCGCGCCCCTCCGCCCGCCCCTCTGGGGAACGAAGACAGGCCCCCGCCCCAGCCTCCCGTCGAGCACACCCCCTCGGGCTCCCCCCACCTCCCGCTCTGCGAGGCGGGGCATTATCCATGACCACCGCCAGCGGGATCGGTGGATTATGTGCGCACTTGATCCCCCCAGGGCCCGAATAGAGCCACATATATCCACCGCCTGCCGAGGACCCCGAAGATCGATCCCACAGGCGGCGGATATTCTGGCTCGCCCATCCCCTCCACCGCCGTCTCCACATCCCAGAGCCCCCAGTCCCCCTTCCCGTTACCTCTCCTCCCGGCCTCCCCTCCAGCAGTTCCCCAGGTCCCCCGCTCCCCCCCACCCCCCACACCTCCCCGGTTCCCCCGACATCCGCCGATGTGACTTTTGCAAGTCCGCAGCCCCAAAGGCCACGACGGCTTCCCCGGGGGGAGTCCGTCGTCCCGGATCCCGCCCGGGATCCGTATTTGATGAGGGCCGAGATCTGTGGCCCCCGGGGCCCGCAGAGCAGCACCCGAGGGCCGAAGTGGAGGAAAAAAACCTCCGGCACCAAAAATCTGACCGTCGGAGACCGGGCCTTCTCTCCCCCCCGGGCCCTCGTGCCCTCTCTGCCAAGGGGGGGGGGGGGCGCGGCACCCTTCCCCGCGCTCCCTGCCCCGGAGAGGGGCAGAAAACGGTGGCCACGACCCAAGGCTGAGCGCGGAAACGGTGGAGCTTCGCTGTGGTCAACGCTCAGCTCGGCCATCGCCCGTTGTTCGCGCGATGGTCCTCGCGAGTCGGTGGCGGCCGGCATGGGCAACGAATAAGATCGGCTGCTCCCCTCGACGTTCGAGGCGGCAGGGGGGCCTGAGCTGCACGGGCCCCGAGGAGATCGGTCGAGATGGGGGGACGAGGGCAAATCCGCTCGAAGTCGGTCCCCCGATCCCTCCCAGGGTCTAAGCTGCCAGCTTTCCGAGCCGCGTCCAGCCGTGGCGACGAGGGGGGCACTCTCTCCCCCCGAGCCAGGCGTCGGGGAAACGCAGGACTCGGGTTCGGGGGGTTCGGGTCGGCCTGACGGGGCCCTCGGGAAAACGACGAGGCGCAATCTGAAACGCGACGCGAGATCCCGCTGCTGACACCCCACGACAGCTGAACCCTCCTCCTCCTCGTCCTCGTCCTCCCCTCCTCATCTCCCTCCTCCTCCTCCTCCTCCTCCTCCTCCTCCTCCTCCTCCTCCTCCCAAGCGGCGGCGGCAGACCCGAGCTCCGGCGAATTCGAGCCCCTCGCCTCCCGGAACCAGTGCCGGGCGGCAACCAGCGTCGCAATTGGGACAGCGGCCCGGACCTCAACGCGCCTCGGAGGGGGCCGCCTCGGCACGGCAGCGAAGTCGCCTCGGCATCGAATTGGGACAGCGGATCGGACCTCAACGCGCCTCGGAGGGGGCCGCCTCAGCACGGCAGCGAGGTCGCCTCGGCATCGAATTGGGACAGCGGATCGGACCTCAACGCGCCTCGGAGGGGGCCGCCTCGGCACGGCAGCGAGGTCGCCTCGGCATCGCAATTGGGACAGCGGCCCGGACCTCAACGCGCCTCGGAGGGGGCCGCCTCGGCACGGCAGCGAAGTCGCCTCGGCATCGAATTGGGACAGCGGATCGGACCTCAACGCGCCTCGGATGGGGCCGCCTCGGCACGGCAGCGAGGTCGCCTCGGCATCGAATTGGGACAGCGGATCGAACCTCAACGCGCCTCGGAGGGGGCCGCCTCGGCACGGCACGATATCGAGGTCGCAGCGGCTCGGCCGCGCCGGCACGCGCGAGAGCGCCACACGAACAGCGGCGGGCCGCGCCCGATCAACCCGAACGTCGGAGTCGAGTCGGCTCGGGCGCCGGCCAGAGCCGACGTCGGATCGGATCGGTCGGATCGCAGTGGAACCCGAGTTTGAGCAGGGACCGACCGTCCCGGCATTCCTGTAGGCCTGCCACGACTTGTTCTCAGAACCCAAACATGTCCTAGGAACAAAAACAGTACCCTTAGAACAGAAACCCGATGTGTTCGGACAAGACGGCCCCAGCCAGAAACGCCCGGAGAACACCTCGTGGAGACCACAGAAGGCTCTCAGAGCACTGTCTGGTAGGCCTACGGGCACGCCAGGATAGAGGCCTCCTAGATGGGGTCGGAGTAGATGGGGTCGAAAGATCTCGCCGCATCGCCGATACATCGCCGATGCATCGCCGATGCATCGGCGATGTATCGGCCATGCGCTGGCGACGTCGGCGATATTCCCGCGACTTCGGCGTGGAGCAAATCGGGCCCCACATCGAGCCGCATCGCCGATGCATCGGCGATGCGGCGAGGTCTTTCGACCCCATCTACTCCGACCCCATCTAGGAGGCCTAGACAGGACGCTTCGCCACTGCTTGCTGAGTGCTGGGCCACCTCCGCCCCCCAGCCGGCTCCAGGGCCTCGACGTCCCCCCCCGCGCCCGCGGGCTCGCGGGGCGCGGGCGGGCCGCCGGCCCCGCGCGGCAGGGGGCCCCCTTGGGCCTCGCCGGCGCGGCGCCGCGCGGGGCGAGCAGAAGGGGGGGCCGTCGCCCGCACGGCGCCGAGGCCCCCCCCGGGAGTCCCAGGGGGCCCCCGAGGGGCTCCGAGAAGCAGCGGAGGAGGCGGGTCGGCAGCCACGGGGTGCCGCGGCCGTGCCGTGCAGCAGCCCTGGCGTGCTGGCTCCGCAGGCGCGGCGGCAGGGGACGTGCAGAGCGGCGAGGCAAGTCCCAGCGACAGGGTCAGCAAACACTGCGTGCTGCCAGCGTCGTGGCATCGGGGTTGTCAACTTCTGGCTGCAGGGCACAGGAAGCAGTGCCCTGCACGAGGCAGCACCTGCAACAGTCTGTCTTCGCGAGCCGTGGTTGCACACAAGTAGCAGCCATCTTCAGATGTACCACCTTGCGCCGACAATGAGCTACTATTTTTTGCAACCGCGAGTGTGACACCAACCGTGGCAGGGCTAGTAGCGACAGGGCCATGAGCAACATTTCCCTGGCATCACACTTCGGTACACCATTCCCCGTCTCAGAACTCTTCGAACAGCCGGCCGAAACCTTGCAGCCGCGTCGCAACCCCAACAGATCGCAACGCCTGCCAATAAGTGGCGCTGTTGATGGCCAGAACAGGCTTCCCGAGCTCGCGCTCCAGCTTTGGCGCCCCATAGATGAAGCTCAGGTTCGTCCCAACCTGGACGAGGGCCTGGACCTCTGGGCTGTCCAGTTCCCTCATGTGGCAAAGGAGCTCCTCCTCTCCAACCTCGGCAATCGCTATGGGCGTGCGGCACCGCAAGCCCTTGAAGCCCAGGACCTGAAATCCCGCCTCTGTAAAGAATCGGGTCACCTCGACGTCCCCTACCTGGGCGTACGGCGACAGCACTGCGATCCGAGTCACCCCGAACTTCTTTAAGGCCATCTCGCAGGCAAACGAGCCACTGCTCACCCCGACACCACCGCACCGAGCTGCCAGCCCCTCCCGCTTCTTCACGCAGGCCTCGTACCCGTGGTAGAATGTGGTACGCCGCCGGGAGACATCCACATCCACAGCTGCTGGAGTCCTGCTGGAGAGCGGCGGACGTGGACAACCTGCCCGACCTCGAGAGGTCATATATATATATATATATGTGTGTAGCCGCATCCACCACTCCGGGAGGTCCTCGCGATCACGGGGCACGACTCGGAGGCGGTGGATGTGGACAGATCCTGGCGGTGGATGTGGGGGCCGACATCCCCATAGCGATGTGGTCGCATGCGGCAGTCATACACCTTGCCACGGCGCTCTCCAGCTCCGTCGGGATTATCCTCTGCAGGCGCGCGAAGCCCTCGTCATCACCAATGTCGACGTTGGGGATGTGGATCCGTCCGACGTGGTTCGTCACACCAGAGTGCGCTCCAAGCGCAGCTCGGATGTCCTCGAAGTCTGGCTGCACAATTGTGTTCGTGGAGGGCACCAGCACACCGATCTTCGCGCGCCATCCACGGGCATCCCTCGAGCGGCGAGCAGCCTTCGGCGGGGGTCCCTCGCCCTCCGGACGGGCGGCGGGGGGGCCCTGCTGGCCCTGGCCACATGCCATCCGACGCGAAGCGCAGCGCTCCGGCCCGGGCCGTGCGACTCGGGCCGTGCGACCTGGGCCATCTCTGCGAGCTTGAGCGCAGCGCAGCGCTCAAGCTCGCAGAGGTGAGCGTGAACTCACGAAAGCACTGTGCCTGGCATGGCGAGGCCCTGTTCGCCGTACGGCTTTGGTCTTCCCTGGGCGGCGGAGAACCACGGGAAGGCAACTTGACAGAACACCAACACATGCTGCTCCCCGCACAACCTTGATAGGGGCACTCCTTCCAAACAGAATACTTGTTGTTCCTGCTTCCTTCCTCCCGCCTTATCCCGCCTCATCATTTCCTCCCGCCTACCTCCTGCCTGTTCCGTACCTCGCCTCACTGGGTGCTAACCACCCGCTGCCGACCGATGCCAACTGTGAAACTGTCGACACCTTCATATGTGCGAGAAGGGGGGTAGGGTCAAAGGAGCCTAACCCACCCAAAGTCCCAAAAACATATTGAACCCTGTGAGATGTGGCATAGGAACAAGATGGGTCAAGGAAACTGACACACCCTGAGTCCGTAGGATGAGGACGATGGCGAGGACATCTACTGTCAGCAAGGCCGAACCACAAGCAGTGTCAATGTCAATACCGTAAGCCAATACAACGCTTGATGAGGAGAGGACGGAGGTGATAGGGTACACACACACACTCTCGCACTCACTCACTCACTCACTCATTCACTCACTCACGCACATCCTGAGCTCCTGGGAGGTCCAGCAAAGTGACGTCCTACACGGATCCAAAAGCTACCTCGCCCTCCCGGGTTAGCTGCCAACCGCGAAACGATCACCGTTGTCGTGAGCGTCTGGGAGGTCCTGCGGGATGTCGTCCCACGGGGATCAACACGGGACCTCGCCTCCATGGGTGCTGCCAACCGCATAACGGTCGCCACTCCCGCGAGCTCCTCGGAGGTCCAGCAGAGTGCCTTCCCACGCGGATTCGAAGGGTATCTCGCCGTCCCTGGTTGCTATCAATAGCGCAACAATCGCAACTTCCATAAGCTCCTAGGAGGTCGGGCGGAATGACGTCCTGCGCGAATCCACACGGGACCTGCCCTCCCTTGGCGCTACCAACTGCGCAAATGTCGCCGCTTGCGTGAGCTCCTGGGAGGTCCAGCGGAGTGACGTCTTACGTCGTACGCCTGCCATTGTCTGTCCTTCGGCGTCGCCTCACATAGGAGGCATCTTGGGACGCGCAATGCAGAGGTCCCCCATGTAGCTCGCAAAGGGACCACGCGCCATTTCGAATGCTCTGTTCCCTTAGATGAGCCCGCTCCTCTTGCCACGCGCATCAGATGGGTCAGGTGCGTCCCTGGGTACCTCAACCTTGAGCCTCATGACGCCAGCACCGACTTCCAGGCTGCTGCCAACCCATGCGTGGGGCACTGTGCTCACCTCCGCCCCGAGGACGAACGGGCCCTTGGGCAGCAGCGTGCGAGATGCCTGTTTCTGGGGGGAGTCTACTTCAGCGACTCGGGGCGCGGAGGGGCCTGAGCTTAGCGCCCCAGAACGGTGCGGCGCCAGGCATCGCTGTTGTGGCACCGTTCTGGCACCCTGGACTCCCCGGTCGCCCGAGACATCCTGGAAGAACGGCCCGAGTCCCGAAACCGTGCGGTCACTCCGAATCCCCACAAACTCACCACACGGTGTGCGGCGCGCGCGTTCTGGCATGTCGTCGTCGTATGTCGTCGTCGTATGTCGTCGTCGTATGTCGTCGTCGTATGTCGTCGTCGTCGAATGCCGTCGTATGTCGTCGTATGTCGTCGTATGTCGTCGTACGACGTCGTATGTCGTCGTACGTCGTCGTATGTCGTCGTATGTCGTCGTATGTCATCGTATGTCGTCATATGTCGTCGCATGTCGTCGTCGTCGTCGTCGTCGTCGTATGTCGTCGTATGTCGTCGTATGTCGTCGTATGTCGTCGTATGTCGTCGTACGTCGTCGTATGTCGTCGTATGTCGTCGTATGTCGTCGTATGTCGTCGTACGTCGTCGTATGTCGTCGTATGTCGTCGTATGTCGTCGTAGTCGTCGTCGTCGTGTCGTCGTATGTCGTCGTCGTATGTCGTCGTATGTCGTCGTCGTCGTCGTCGTCGTCGTCGTCGTCGTCGTCGTATGTCGTCGTATGTCGTCGTATGTCGTCGTATGTCGTCGTATGTCGTCGTATCTCGTCGTATTTCGTCGGATGTCGTCGTACGTCGTCGTACGTGTCGTATGTCGTCGTATGTCGTCGTATGTCGTCGTATGTCGTCGTATGTCGTCGTATGTCGTCGTATGTCGTCGTATGTCGTCGTATGTCGTCGTACGTCGTCGTATATCGTCGTATGTCGTCGTATGTCGTCGTATGTCGTCGTACGTCGTCGTATGTCGTCATATGTCATCGTATGTCGTCGTCGTCGTCTGTCGTCGTCGTCGTCGTCGTCGTATGTCGTCGTATGTCGTCGTATGTCGTCGTACGTCGTCTTATATCGTCGTATCTCGTCGCATGTCGTCGTCGTCGTCCTCGTCGTCGTCGTCGTCGTCGTATGTCGTCGTCGTCGTCGTATGTCGTCGTATGTCGTCGTCGTATGTCGTCGTATGTCGTCGTATGTCGTCGTATGTCGTCGTATGTCGTCGTATGTCGTCGTATGTCGTCGTATGTCGTCGTATGTCGTCGTGTGTCGTCGTATGTCGTCGTCGTCGTCGTCGTATGTCGTCGTATGTCGTCGTATGTCGTCGTACGTCGTCGTATGTCGTCGTATGTCGTCGTATGTCGTCGTCGTCGTCGTCGTCGTCGTATGTCGTCGTCGTCGTCGTATGTCGTCGTATGTCGTCGTCGTCGTATGTCGTCGTATGTCGCCGTATGTCGTCGTATGTCGTCGTATGTCGTCGTATGTCGTCGTATGTCGTCGTACGTCGTCGTATGTCGTCGTATGTCGTCGTATGTCGTCGTATGTCGTCGTAAGTCGTCGTATGTAGTCATATGTCGTCGTTATGTCGTCGTCGTCGTCTGTCGTCGGTCGTCGTCGTCGTATGTCGTCGTATGTCGTCGTATGTCGTCGTACGTCGTCGTACGTCGTCGTATGTCGTCGTATGTCGTCGTATGTCGTCGTATGTCGTCGTATGTCGTCGTATGTCGTCGTATGTCGTCGTATGTCGTCGTATGTCGTCGTACGTCGTTGTACGTCGTCGTATGTCGTCATATGTCGTCGTATGTCGTCGTACGTCGTCGTATGTCGTCATATGTCGTCGTATGTCGTCGTCGTCGTCTGTCGTCGTCGTCGTCGTCGTCGAAGTATGTCGTCGTAGGTCTTTGTATGTCGTCGTATGTCGTCGTACGTCGTCGTATGTCGTCGTACGTCGTCGTACGTCGTCGTACGTCGTCGTATGTCGTCGTATGTCGTCGTCGTCGTCGTCGTCGTCGTCGGGTCACCGCACCGTCCGGGGCGCCCGATGCGAGAGCGTGGGGGAGGCCCGAGGGTGCCCACGCGAGGCGCCTGGGAAAGCACGGAGGAGCGCATCATCATCATCATCATCATCATCATCATCATCATCATCATCATCATCATCATCATCATCATCATCATCATCATCATCATCATCATCAGAGCCCTGGGCCCGGCAAGATGGGCGCCAGCGCGCACGGACGGCCCGGGAGCCTTCAGGGCGTCAGAGCCACGGGCAGCGCGTCCACGACGGTTGTGGCACGAGGCCAGGGGCGGCCACGGGAGCGGCCCGAGAAGCGTCCAGTCCAGGACGACCCGGAAGCCCCGGGGAGGCCTCCGGAGGCCCACGGGAGGCCCGCACAGGAGACCCCAGGATGCCCAGAGAGGGGCAACGCGGCGGTCAAAATCATCGGAAGGCCTTACACTCTTACTGACCGTGCCTGGAAGAAAGGCCCACGACGGCCGAAGAGCGGCTCGACCAAACATCTCTCAAAGGCCCAATAAACGGCCGCGAGACGGCCCAAGAGGGGCTATGTCGAGGGCACGAAGGCAGCCCCTCGGGCGATTCAAGACGCCCCCGGACGGCCTAAGAGGCCCCCGAGATGGCATCGAGACAGCCCCCGGTCCCCTCTGTTCCTCTGCCCTCGCAATCCTGACTCCTGCTTGAGACGCATAAGGAGCCCCCAACGATGGCCCACCAGCACTCAGTGTGCTCCAAAATGGCTCCAACGTGACCCCGCATAGCCCAACATGGCCTCCAAGATTGCTCAAAGTGACCTCCACGACGGACCGAGCTGGCCCCAAGATGGCTCCACGATGGTGCGGAACCTCCCACAGAAGCCCCTGATAGCCTAAAGCGATTGTAAAACAATTTTTTTTTTTTTTTTGTTCCTTCCCCCCTCCGCCCAGTCCCAGTCCCGAGGCGAGGAGCCCGGCAGCGAAAGGGCTTGCTGCCGCTGCCCGCCGCTCTGCCGCCTGCCGCCCCGCCGCCCCGTGGGCGCTAGTTGGGCGCTCTATCCTTGGGCGCTCTATCCTTGATTCTATGAACTAGTTGGACGCTCTATCCTTTGATTCTTGAGGAGGGCGTCAGAAGCCTGCAGGCGGCCCCAGGGTGGCCCACGAGGGTCGCCACGAAGGCCGGCAGCCAAGAGGATCCCAACGGGGCCCGAAGAAAACCCGAACTGAGCCTCGAGGTGATCACGACAAAGCTCCAGGAGAAGACCCAATAGGCAACGATAGGTCAAAGAGGGTTCCAGGCCCCACGAACCCGAGGGAGCACCAGGATCATCCCAAGAGCACCCAAGAGGACAGGGTTGCCCAAAAGCCAAACCGAACACTCAAATCGCCCAGGAGCCCGCTAATTGAAGATGTGCGTCTTCGTGTTCGGCTCATGATCAACACAAACACGGCGAAGCACGGATGGCAACTGAAAACTCATGACCTCCATACCCTTGATCATTTTCACTATTATTCCTCCTGCTGAAACTCTTCCAATGTCTCATCCTCATCCTTGTTTTATCGGCCTCTATCTCCCCCGTATCGTATCGTATCACTCTTCCTCCTCCGCCGCATTACCCCACCGAACAGTCGACCAAACCAGGACTCGACACCGTCAGGGTTTTGTTCGCTTCCGATGAAGTTGCAGTCACATCCGCCGATAAGCATTACCAGATGGCGCGCCGTGGAGATCTGGCTGGCACCTTGAAAAAGAAGCGATGCTCTGAAAGCCGCAGCACGCGCTTCCGCCAACCCTCGGCCCCTCCCGCCTCCTCAGGACGGCCGCCCCTCGCGCGCCACCCCCGTTTGGGGCGCCGCCGATTCGCCGCGCCGCGCTGCCAGCACAGCTCTCCTCGACGGGGTCAGAGAGCAAAAACAGCACCAGTGACAAGTCACGTCGAAACAACGATAGCAGGTTGCCACGCGCTGTCGGTGGCGAGCCACACCGACACTCAGCCTCGTAGAACCAACCGATGGAACTGTACGATTTCAAAACGGTCCGCTCACAGAGAGCGGAATCTGTGAGCACTGAGTAGCCCAACCACACGTATTCAGCCCTGGGCAGAGGCTATGTGCTATTGTTGCAAGCTGCGGTATCAAAACAGGTCGTAGCTTGCTCCTTTCCTTTCAATGTCCCCGTAGCAATTCTTGCTTGAAAAGGGTCTCATTTACCCTGGAGCGAATTGCCCTGCGATGTGTGGCTTTCTAACACTACCGGCACGTCCCAGCGGTTCCTGGCCATGCAGACCCACTCCGTGGGTCCCACCCCGTCGAGCCCAACCCCATAGCGTCCCACCCTATAGTCTTATTCCAGACGGCCTCGCCCATCAGGCGCCCACCCCAGAAGGTTTCACCACAACGACTGCACCGAAAGAACAACCCATAGATTGCAAAACACAGGCTGCACCGCATAGATTCTCCTTGCTAAAAAGAGAATAGACTCCTACCCCCCCGGCGTTATCCGTACCCCTTTCGGGTATGTAAATCATATGATTCTGACAAAATGTCCATCCTAAATATGAATTTACACTACGCTTGAGGGGCCAGTATCGACCCCTGAGGTTCCCTTGTAAAAAACGATACGCGGGGACATGTTTTGTTCTAACATACGATTTTGCGACGAATCCCTTGCAACAAAATGGAACGACGTGCACACGCGCGCGTCGTCGCGCGCGCATGCCGAAATCGGTGTCGGAAGGATTTCGAAATCGAGTTTCCAAAAAAACATACAAAAACACACGGTTTCCCAAAACTGATTTGCTAAAAAAGTTTACGCGCGAACTCTTGCGAAATCTTTTAAAACAAAAACCATAGGTTTTTCAGGATTTACACAAAATGCTACCAAACGGGCTTCGCGCGCGCATGTCGAAATCTGTCGAACGCCCTTGCGCGTGTGCCGTCGCGAGAACCCTCTGCAAAAAATGGGACGAAGTGCAGACGCGCGCGTCGTCGCGCGCGTATGCCGAAATCCTTCAAAAACCATCGGTTTCGGAAGGATTTCAAAATCGTGTGTCCACTAAACCTTTAAAAACACAAGGTTTCGCAACACGGATTTTTAACAAAAGCGTGCGCGCGCGCTCGTGCGTCGTCGTCGTCGTCGTCGTCGTCGCCGCCGTCCTCCCTCCTCCCGCGTCGTCGTCGTCGTCGCCTACGTCGTCCTCTGTCTTTCCTCGTGTTCGTCGTCGTCGTCCTCTTTGGAGTCGTGGTCGTTTCCGTCGTCGTCGTCGCCGTGGTCGCCCTTCCTCCTCCTCCCTCGTCGTCGCCGTCGTCCGTCGTCGGCGTCTCGTCGTCGTCCCTCCTATTTCGTCGCAGTCGTCGTCGTCATCGTCGTCGTCGTTGTCGTCGTCTTCCCTCCTCCCTCGTCGTTGTCGTCGTCGGCGGCGCCGTCCTTCCTCCTTCTTCGTCGTTCGCGTCGTCGCCGTCCTCCCTCCTCCCTCGTCGTTGTCGTCGTTGTCGTCGTTGTCGCCGTCGTCGTCCTCCCTCCTCCCTCGTCGTCGTCTTCGTTAGCGATGTCGTCGTCGTCTTCGTCGTCGTCGGCGTCGGCGTCGTCGTCGTCTTCGTCGTCGTCGACGTCGGCGTCGTCGTCGTCGCCGCCGTCGTCGTCGTCGTCGCGGGCGTCGTTGACGTCGTCGTCGTCATCGGTGTCGTCGTTGTCGTCGTCGTCGGCGTCGTCATCGTCGTCGTCGTTGTCATCGTCGTCGGCGTCGTCGTCGGCGTCGGCGTCGTCGTCGTCGGTGTCGTCGTCGTCGTCGTTGTCGGCGTCGTCGAAGTCATTGGAGACGTCGTCGGTGTCGTCGTAGTCGTTGTCGGCGGCGTCGTCGTCGTTGTCGCTGTCGTCGTCGGCGCCGCTGTCGTTGCCAAGTGCCATTTGGTACCCACCGTCACGGTCTTAAGAGATTGTGCAAACCAAGTTGCGGGTGGGTGGGTGGGATGATTGCGCGAGCAGTGGAGTTGACAACTTCAAGTTCGGCAAGTGAATTGCACCCCATAGACTGCATCGCATAGTGCACCAGCTGGATGGGATTCCATGGACTGCAACCCGCAAACTGCACAGAGTCACTTGGGGTCTCGCCGGTATCAGAAATACATGCTCACATCGAGTAGAGCCTTCACGATGGTGGTTGCGCAACGTGCCTCTCGCTGCACGCAGTGATACAGCTGATATGATCGTAGACATACACAGTAGAGCGCGTGGGGCTGTAAAGTAAGACTACCCAGAACCAGCTGGCAACACATGTGGGAAAAACGGCACAGAAGCCAAGACGGTGCAGAAGCGCTCTCTACTCTCGTACGTTCCGCTCCGCACATGTGTTACAAATCTAAGCGCTATTCGTAATGCTTGAAATCCATGCTGTGACCTCCTCGAAAATACCTTTGCGCAGCGCCCCACAGCAGGCACAGGCAACCCTGGCCTCTCAGAACGGCAGGGGAAGCTCCACGAGTAATTTACGGCAATGCCTCAGGACGACTCATGACTCCTGCCTGCCATAGGAAGCCCCGCTGCCGCAGGACGCTAGGCAACTGTGCTCCGCCAGCTGTTGGTGGATCTTCGCCAGCTGCTGCAGCGCATCCGTGTTTCTGTCGACCACCCGCCTAAGAGCGTGGACGTCCTGCGTGACGGAGGCGAGGTCGACGCGCTGGGCTGGCCCACGGAGCCTCGTCACCGCGCCGATAAACTTGTCGGCGTCGATCTCGTCGGAGTCGTCGTGTGGGTCGAAGAGGCTCCACACGTGGTCTGGGTCCCTCAGGTCGAGCCCGCTCGCACAAAACCAGGCCCTCACCCTCTCGTCGCCGAGCAGCCTCAGGAACTCGTCCTTGGACATGGACCCGTCGCTCGAGTTGTCAGCCTCGCGGAAGAGCTTGTGCATCTTCCACAGGTAGCCCCGCCTCTCTCTGAGACTCTGAGTGATCATCAGCTCGTCGTTGCTTCCGGCGACTCTCATCGTCTCGTGCAGGAACACGCCTGTGATGACCCTGATTATCGAGAAAGCGACGACAAAGCGGTAGATAATGATAAATGCGGAAGCCCATGGACTAATGTACTCCTGCAAAATTCTGGTCACTGGTACCCAATTTCCATCTGTGAGCTCCAGCATCGTTAGGAAAGACCGCGAACAAGTCCCAAAATACTTGTACATCGTCTCCCGTCTCTCCTCGTCGATGCTCAAGTCTTCAATGTATACCCTCATCGTATGGCTAAGAACCAACCCAACGAACAGCATGATGATGGACAGCAACACAATCGACCAAGTGCCAACGGACACACTGGCCTGTATCGACAATACCATCAAGTTCAGGGAATCTGCAAACTGCACTGATCTGGCAAGACGCAACAAGCGGACAGTCTTGGCGAGTCGAGTCAACCGAAAGACTAGCGGGGGGATAGGCAGGTGTTCCGACAGAAGAACCCCCGATTGCTCGAACAGCCAGCCTACCACGACGGCTGAGTCGAGCCAGTTCCAGGCCACGCTGACAAACTCCAGCCGATATGCGGCGATCTTGAGAACCACCTCGACCGTGAACGCGACCCCGAACACGAGCTCGCACACCCTGAGCACCTCCACCGCGTGCGGCCACGTGGCGCTGGCCGACTGTCCCTGCCTCATCGGGAGGTTTCCCCGGTCGCCCGTCTCCCAGCCCAAATACTGTGCCTCCGCAGCCATCACGGCAGCAGACAGCAAGATTATGCATGCGAACACAAGCTCGAAGGCGTCGCTCTCCACCAGCCTGCGCAGGCGGCCGCGGGTATCTGTGCCGGTGCTGACGATAGTCTTCCCCCTCTTCCTGGTCATCGAATTCATGGATTGCTTCAGCTCGATCCCGTCCTGGGTGCCTGACCTCGCGTTGCCGACGGACGCCTTCGAGCCGCTGCTTCTGAACTGGTCCTTGCTGTTCCGACGGTTCCCGCGGCTCGGGGCGCCGCTGGTCTGCTGCCGCGGGTCCTCCAGCCTCGCCACGGGATCCTGGCCCTTCTCGGCCCTCCCGGCATCGGCGAGCGTGAAGTACGGGTGCACGTCGCTGCCTTCTGTGGCAACTCCTGGGAGCCTCCCATGTCGTCTTGCTGGCTCTCGCGATCGGCGCTGACCAACGCCAATCGACGCCGATCGACGCTAATCGACGCTGATCGACGCTAAATCGACTCTACTCGACGCTGAATCGGCGCTTTCTCATCGCTTACCAGACGCTAGCGCACGCGAATGCACTCCGAAGACGAGACCTCGAGGACACACGAGGCTCCCACGAGTTGCTTGCCGAGGCTGCCTCTGGCCATCAGCAGAGGCGGCGCGTGCGCATGCCCGTTCGTGTGATGGTGATGCGGCGCCTCCGCCGGCGGCGGCTGCGACAGAAAGGCAGTGACGGCACAGGACTGAGGGGGTCCGGCGGCCTTGAGCATCGCTTAACCGATCCACATCCCCAGTGGCGTGGCCTGGGCCCCACTGGCCGGCTTTTCTCCCCCTAGATGGGGATACAGGCCGTTCCCATCGGGTTTCGAGGTGCATATCCCCAACTGGGGTGCTGAGATGCTGGAGGTCTGGATGGAGATGGGGATGGGGGTAGGGATCGGTTAAACGATACTGAGCCTCTGGCAGGACCGGCCCGAGGCGGCACACGTAATCCTCCGCTATGGCCAGCACCTGCTGGCTCAGACCCTCGCACGCGCTGCCAACCGCCCTACGGAGGGCGTCTACGGCCTCTCGGGGGAGGACAAAGTACCGATACCGCTACCTTCCCTCGTTTTTTCTTATAAAAACAAGTTTCTGCTGGTTTATTAGATATCCTGTCTGAAGGCGGTTGGGGCCAAGCCCCTAGTAGTGCACCTGTGCACGCACCAGCTCTGAGCGGCCAGCTCTGAGCGGCCTTCCCTCGTTTTGGCCTTTTCAGGCCTCCTGGGAAGCCTTCGTCGCCACGGCTGGATTCGCCTGGGAACCCTGGTCAGAACGCAACCCGGGAAAGGTTCGGGAAACAACGGCATCGGTATCGTTTTAAGTTCCCTGGCCTCGACATCGCGGCCCAGCTGCCGAGGGCTCTGAGGCTCTGTCACCCTAGCTCCGCATCTCGGCACGGCCGTCCAGAAGTCAGGGTGCTCGGACGGTTCCCCGCATACTTCTGGGCCCCCCTTTCGAGTATCGGTCTGCCGATCCCCATCCCCAGCGGCGCGGCCTGGGCCCCGCTGGCCGATCTACCCCCCCAGATGGGGATGTGGGCCGCTCCCTTCGGGTGTCGAGGGGTGCATCCCCAACTGGGGTGGCAATCTCGTGGGGGTCTCGAAGGGGATGGGGATGGGGATGGGGATCGGCTGAAGCGATACCGGCCTTGGCCATCGCAGACTGACGGCGCTCCGCCGGGCCACTGTGCCCGAGTGCCAAGAGCGCCGGTCGGTTTTCTGGGCCGAGCCCGAGGCGACCCCTGGAAGCCAGGGCGCGGAGGCTTGGGCCACGGTGGATACGGGTCGGACCCTTGGCATGTTCACGAGCGCCTTCTTCGGATGTCGGCTGCATGCCTCCAGGATAGGAGGGAACCGAATCATGCCATCACATCTTAATTAAGCTCGATCACCAAGCAGACTCAAGAACTGTGCTCGCAGCGCGTCATCACCGACAGCATGCGGCGCCAAGTATCACACGGCGAAGCACGCGACCCAGCACTCTTGAGAAGCAAGCACGTCGAGTGGAGATAAATCACGCCCAGAGTATAACCAATAATCGAAACAATACTCGCTGGCTTGACAAAAACGTGTTACCGTATCACCCAACTGGTGGAGCCGGCCTGTCAGTTACGGGAACCGTGATGCCAACTATGGATGCTGGAGTGGTCCCCTTAGACCGTCTTGGGGATCGAAGCGCAACTAAAATCCGACGCGACTTTTCGTGCGACATGACGCGATGGAAGCGATGTCGAAGCAATACGAGGATGAATGAAGCAATCGCAGTCAAATCCGTACAACCTGTTCACGTAAACTACATGAAACGTAAATTCTGACACATCTCAACTGAATGCCGCAGCCTCGTTACACAGATAGAACATTTCACTTCGCGGAGGCATGGGCGCAGATCTGAAAGCGGCCCATGCCAAGTAATTCAAAGCCTGTTAGCGGATGATGGGTAGGCTCAAGTGTGGCAACTGCAGGTAGGTCGTTCCGTTTGCCCGCGTCGTGTCTGAAGCGCACGCAAAGAAGCGAAATTTGGATAAGATGGAATCCCCGCTTGTTCCTGACGCTGCGGCTGGGCCAGTATCCCGTCATGGTGTCCTAACGGTGTCTGAAATTCGGTCGGCCTCTGCTGCTTCGAAGAAACGCTGTCCCATGTGAGCCTTTAACATTGAAATTTCTCCGCCTGGGCGCCTTCCAGCACGCAGCGGAGTGCTACGAGGCTCGTACCGATGAGTGTAAGATTTGAAAGATCCTGAAAGGCCCCAACCACAGATCTGCAGGAATCCCCTGGCGTTTTTGGGCGCTTCTGGCGTACAACGCGTGGGCATCTGGGGACCAGACTCACACAGCCCGATTGCGACATCCCCAGAAGCCTTCCGAGAAACGCTCACGAAGGCTTAGAAATCCTCTGTGGCCCAAGGAACCGTCCACGGGGGCCTCGGGGGACATTTTGCAAGACCTGCGGGACAGCCCGAAAAGCCAAAATCATGGAAAAAACATGGTTGCACGGTCTTCGCATACTCGGCTTCTCGGTCATCAGAGCGTCTACAACGACCCAGGACGCACACAAAAGACCCCCAAGACTGCACACGACGCCCCAACTATGAAACCAAGAGGGCCCTAAGATGGGGAATCCCACCAGCCCTCGGGGCGTAGGTGGTTTAGGGAGTTCTTTTTCCACCCCACTTCTTCCCCTTCGGGGAAGGGTGCATCAGCGTTCCCAATTACTAAACACCCCCTCCCCCACCCTGCCGGCAGCCAACCCGGAACCATGCACACACCATGAGGGCCATTCCCCCATCACCCCTGTCAAAAAAAATAAGAAATGCACATTATGGGGCCCACCCAGCCAACACCCTCCACAATCCCTTTTCAAAAAACAATGCGACGTGCACATTGCAGCAGAATCTGGAAAGTGCGCTGGCGCCCTGTGAGCACGTTGTATTGTTTTTGATACAAATGGCGGGGCACCCTTAGTGAAGCCGCTTAGTGCAAGACCACCATCCGTGTAAAAAATGCAAAGCGCACGTTGCGACAACGTCGTGGATGTTGTGCTGACCGCCCGCGATCACAATTTAATTGTTATTTGACAGGGACGGCGGTGGTGCCCGCATGATGATGGTTGCTGCGCGCAGGCCCAGAACAATGCTGACGCCCCCCACATCAGCATCTGGACCATGCGGACGGGGGGGCATCACGCTTTTTTGCGCAGATGGCACACCAACCGCATGTGGGGCCAACGGCGGACGTCGCGCACCTGGCATCCGCTTTGGTTTCCAGTGGCTGTCCATCCCGTGGCGACCCCTGGCTATGCCGAGACTCGGACGCCACTTATGTGGTGAGAGGGCGAGTGGGAGTGAGCCAAACAGCTTGCGTGCGGAGGGGGTGTCTTGACCCCCCTTTACCCCCTCCCCTGGACCTGGACGGGCGGTGCCGCGACCCACTGGAGCGTCCAAAACGGCCTCGGCGAGGAAGCCAAAGCATTGGTTTTACAGGGGTTGGGACCCAATGTTGGCCTCTTGGGGGCTCAGTGGACCCCCCCTCTTGTTTGACCGATGGCTTCCAAGATGGCCCGATGAGTGCCCCTGAAACTCCCACCAAGAGCGCCCCAAGAGAGTTCCAAGAAACGCCCAAACGGCCCCAAGGGGCCTCCAAGAGGGCCCCAAGACACCCCCGAGGGGTCCCCAGAAGGCTTCAGGAGGATCCCCAACGCACCCAAGGTGCCCCCCAGACGTTCCAAGAGGCCCCTCCGAAGCACCCAAGACGCCCCAAAGCTCCCCAGGTCCGCCAAGAGACCCCCAAGACGTCCCGAGAGGCCACCAAGAAGCGCCCAAGCGATATCCCAAGAGGTTCCGTAAGGCATCCAAGAGAACTCTGGCCCTTTTTGTTCGCCATGTTAATCCTGTTCCTCCTTCCTTTTTAGTCATTGTTATTTCCCTCCTCCTCCTCATCATCAGCATCATCATCCTCATAGAAATCATGACCATCATCATCAGCAGCGCCAGCATCATCATCACCACCACCACCACCGCCATCTCCACCACCACCATCATCAGCAGCATCATCAGTATCATCATCAGCGGCAGCATCGTCATCAGCATCATCATCCGCATCACCATTTTCATCATCATCATCACCACCACCACCACCATCATCATCACCACCACCACCATCATCAGCAGCAGCAGCATCATCATCATGTTCGTTTCTCTTCTCCCCACTCCCTCAACCATCCACACAGACTCTTTCTTCTCCTCCTCCCTCCTTCGCACGGTGATCACCTCAGCTCGCCTGGACATCGTTTATGGATGGGCTGGCGGGAATTCTGTTCGCTCGCAACCGCGAGCGGACAGCCGCGCGGCGTCGTAGAATCGAACGAAGGCCTAAACGACGGCCGGGACCGAAACCAGGCACGACAGCGGGCGAGCGCCGAAAAATGCAAGCGAGGCGGCGGGCAGCTAGCCAAGTGGCGACCTAAATTGTACAGGGCCAGAGCCGAGAGCGCGGGCAGCGAACAGCAGCGAAAATGGCAGCTACGCACCTGGCGTCAAACACCGCTCAGAAACCGGGGACGACCGAGTCCAGGCCCAACTGCGACATCGACATCCTCATCGAACCTCACCACGTCTACGACATACCGCATGCCAAAATTTGAGAACAACGCCGCCGTCGTCAAACAAAAAAAACTGCGGAACCACACCGCAGAGACGGGTGACTTCCAAATAAATGCCACCAGACCTCTGCGCCCAAGGAACCCCATTCGGGGCTGGCGGGGATACTTTTTCGCTCGCGAGCGACGCCGATGGCTGCGCGCCGCCCAAGGAGTCGAATGCAAGAGTCGGGCACAAGGCAGTAGCCGCCGGCGACACGCGGAAAAATGAACAGGCGAAGCACAGCGGCGACGCGGCAGAGGCGGGAGCGAAGACAACAGAGAGAGAGGGCGAGGGAAACGACAGAGGAAGAAGGCCAAAGAAGAGAAACAAGAGAGACAAAGAGGAGAAGACGAACGCGCAGGAGCTCAAGCTTAAACGACGAAAAACAGGAAGTACCTCGCCGAAGAGCAGGAACTTGGAATACAAGGGAGGGCGACGTACAACCCAGCAGGCCATCTCCAGGGCCATAGGATAAGCCACATGGTAAGCGCACTCCAAGGCCCACCAGTCCAGTAGCGACAGGGACGTGCCAGCCCGGCAGGGGGATGGGCGTAACCTGCCGCGTAAGCGAACCTGGTCGGGGGCACCGCCGTCGGAGGCCAACAGCCTGGTGGGGGCCAGCGCGGACGCGCCAGGCGCCAGTCCAGCGAAGGGGACCACGTGCGTGTGGCGCACGATCTGGTAGGGCGCAGCTGACAGCCGCAACAGAGCGTGAATGGGGTCCGCCTGTGGCGTATTCCTGCGCTGGCATGTGACAGCCTGGGCCACTGGGCTGCAAAGACCCATCCGAACGTCAGCCGCAGAGTGGAGGGGACCACTCCACCTGCAGCGCCGGTTGCTGGTGGGGTGCAGCTGACAGCCGCAGATAAATGGAAATTGCTCTGGTAGGGGGCAGCTGACAGCCGCAGAAAGTTGGGAAAGGGTTCGCCTGAGACATATCGATGCGCTGGCTGGGGACAGCCTGGACCACTCCGCTGCCCAGAAACGCCGAGCGTCAGCCGCGTGATGGAGGGGGGTTACTCCACGTGCAGCGCCGGTTCGCTGGTAGGGCGCAGCTGACAGCCGCAGCAAGGTGGGGGAATTCTGGTAGGCCGCAGCTGACAGCCGCAATGAGATGTGAAGGTTCCGCCTGGGACATTGCTGCGCTGGCAGAAGGCACAACCACCGCATCGGTCATTGTAATTCAACCGATCCACAGGGAGGGGGTCACTCCACCTGTGGCGCCGGTCCGCAAGTAGGGCGCAGCTGACAGCCGCAGAAGGGTGGGAGTTGACCAAGTAGTGCGCAGCTGACAGCTGCGGAGAGATGGAGTACGGGTACCGCCTGAAACATATTGATGCGTTGGCATTGGGCTACCAGGGTCGCACCGCTGTCCAACAAAGAGGGGGTCACTCCATCTGTAGCGCCGGCTCGCTGGCAGGGTGCAGCTGACAGCCGCCGGAAGATGGGAATTGCTCCGGTAGGGCGCAACTGACAGCCGCAAAAGGAGTGCGGAAAGGCCCGCTTGAGACAAAATGCCGTGCCGGCATTGGGCCGCCTGGGTTACCCCGCTGCCCAGTAGGAGCAAACACGTTCGCCGCAGGATGGATGGGGTCACTCCATCTGTAGTGCCGGGCCGCTGGTAAGGCGCAGCTGAAAGCCGCAGCAAGGTGGGGGTTATTCTGGTCGTGTGCAGCTGACAGCTGTAGAAAGACGAGTAGGTTCCGCCTGAGCCATTGCTGCGTTGGCACAAGGTCCAGCCACCGCACAGGTCTATTGTAATCCCACAGTCAGCCGCAAAGTGTAAGGGGGTCATTCCACCTGCGGAACCGATTCGTTGGTAGGGTGCAGCTGGTAGCCGCGGCAAGATGGAAAAATCCCAAGTAAGTTGCAATACAATTCCGAAGGGTTGAATAGGGTATGCCAAACAACAGCTGCGCTGACACTTTGCACGGCCAACC